CCAAACCCCAAAACCTGTATTCCTAAAACCCCACTAAACCCTACACCAAGTCCCTAAAGCACCGAAACCCAAAACCCCAAAACCCTCATCCCTAAACCCCAAATCCCACTAAGCCCTAAACCAAATCCCTAAAGCACCCAGAGCTGGGAGCCATGGCCCATCAAGGACGCCGGCTTCAGACTGGGCCGGTCGTCTGGATGCAGGTGATCCTGAGCGTCAGGGTTTAGGGCTTGGGGTTTAGAACAGGGTTTTCAAGGCTTAGGGGTCTTTTAATGGGATCTATAAGGGTTCTATAAGAGTTCGTTTTTAAAGGGATCTAGAAGGGATCTATTCGGGGTTTAGGGCTTAGGGTTTAAGGCCTACAAGGTTTACTTTTTAGGGTTTAGGGTCTATAGGGTTTTGGGGTTTAAAGTCTATAGCAGAGTTTAGGGCTTGTCAGGTCTAGGGTCCGTGAGGCTTAGGGCTATGGGGGTTTAGGGTTTACGGTTTGGGGTGAGGGTTTAGAAATGCTCGGTGTTTGGTGACTTGAGGAGTTTGCGCTTAAGGTTCTTGATTTAGCGGTCTAAGCGGTCTGCGTCTCAGATCTTAGGTGGGATGCGCTTCGGTGGCGAATGTCCTGCTATTAAACTGGAATAAGGGCTTTTGTGCACAACTATATCTTTATGTTCGGGAGAAGTTAAGGCATTGGGGACTCTACAAGGGTGCGTGTAACTACTGACTACTCCGACCATGATACTGCTTTCCAAAATAGGAACCCTTGCAGGAACCCACATGCCCAAGAACGCACAACCAAAACCCTAAACCCTACGCCCCAAAGCCCTACCCCTAAAACACTCCTAAACCGCAAAAAACTCTAAACCCTAAACCCTAAAATTAACCTAAACCTCCAAACCCCTATAAACCCCAAAACCCCAAACCTCTAAACCCTAAACCCCAAACCTCTAAACCCTCCCTAAAACCTAAACCCTAACACTGGGCCGAGCCGCTGGATGCCCAGCCCCGTCATGGCCTGCATGCCTCAGCCGGGTACGCTGCGGGCTTGACCCTGGTGCTTGTGGGACGGTATAAGTATAAGGTTTAGGCGTATTTAGGGTTTAGTATGGTTTAGTATGGCTTAGTATGGCGTAGTATAGCTTAGTATGGTTTAGCGTGGTTTACGGGTTTGGTGTTTGGGATCTAGGGTTTGGATTGAAACGTAGATGCATTTAGGGCCTAGGGTTTAGTCACAGGTCTTCGGGAGTGACACTATGCATTCCGTTTTTGGGGCTTTCGCATTGATGCATCTAATGTGGCCTTGTAGGCCAAGGCGCGCCCACGAAAAAAGAGAGTACATCTGAAATCACCTTCTGGACCTTGCTTTGGCTGTAGACCAAAAACCCTACCTCTGCCAAGGGTAACATGATGGATCCTATGATGTACCTGAAAATGCGCAGGCTTCTTGGGCTAGAAGGTAGACTCTACATCCTGACACCCCAAATCCGAAAATTTAAAACATTAGGGGAGTAGAAATAGCTAGGATTAGGATGCAGAGTGGAGGCTCCAGGACTCTAGGGTTACGTGTCCAGTGTCCTAGGGAAACTGAAGGCTAACCTTTTGGACCATGCGATTTAGTACCCCGGAAAGCTTACAGGCTTCCTCCTCCACTGCAAAGTAGGACTCTAGGCTTCAGGAATTTAGTGCGAGGGTGGTAAAGCCTCGCAAGTACTATAGAGGCCGTAATAATTAGAATAGGGCTCTGGGGCCCATTATACTATATTTATAATAAGGAACCCCAAGATAGTATAGGTAACTATTTAGGCCCCTATAGTAGCTTCTGGATGGAAGCGACTTGGGGCCGAATTAGGTCAACAGCTCAGTGCAGAAACGACCGAAGCCAGTTCCAAGACGGAGAATCTCCACATCAAAGGCCCTCTACGCACCCTCTGAAGCAGCGAAACTGCAAGAACACATGCAAATGTGTATATACATATATATATATATATATATATATATGTCTTTGCATCGGGCTGAGAGAAGGCGAACAAGATACCCACAAGATGCCCGTATCAGAACACTCTCTCCAGACATATTGTTTACCGTTCCCACTTGGAGCTGCGGCGTTGCAGTGGCTTTGGACTCCACTGCCTGCCACTGCAGAATGCGATAAGTGCTCTGGGGAAAATGGCTTAGGGGTTTGGGGTTTAGGGTCTAAGGGCTTTTGTGCTGTGAAGTTAGGGTCGGGGGGTAGATACGCACAGTTCACACCGCACACAGTTCACATCTATGGCAACCGCTGCATTGATTGAGCAGCTCCTCGATGTCTATGTAAGCACTGGTAATAACTAACACACACACACACACACACACCGACCCGCCAGATCGTGGTGACTGCTGAAGATCCCCGCCTGCTTTCAACCCCCTCTTCAGCCTCTCCGGGCCCCACCAAGATGAGGCGCGTGGGCCGCGTGGGTTTTAGAGATAGGGCTTGCTCCTAAACCCGAAGCCCCTGATTAAACCCTGACCCTGCAGCGCTTAGGAGTTTAGGATCACAGGAATCCGAACCCTCAAAAAAACGAAGCCAGCCCCGGCAGAGAGGGCACCGGGTGCCTCCTCCTCAAGCTTCGCGCGCAGCTCTCTCTCCTCTTCAGGTCCCGTGTGGGGTTGGTTTGGAGGTCTCGGAGGCACTGTGAGTTCGGGGTCTATGGATGCCTTCTGCGAACAAAAGCAAGCGACATTAAACCATATATGATATGACCCTAATTAAATTACATTATATGTTGGAGGCCGAGCAGGCTTCGGGTCTACTGCATGCTGTGAATTGATCTATCCTCGGCCCTGCTTCCAGCTAAGGCTCCCTCGCAGTCATACTTCCGGGTCTAGACCTAAGAGTAACCTGGGAATACAAAGCGTGGCCTTTTTGGTTTAAACTAAACCCCCAAAAAAAGGAATAGGGGGCCCTGCTCTGGATGCCAGGGGTTGAAGTTAGAGACCTAAACCCTATCCCAAGCTCGCTCTTGAACCTCGTGGACCTACTTAAAGGGTCATGGGACTTAGTAACTAGGGTTATAATTAGGGTAACTCTACTTATAATTACGTATAACCCCCAAGTAGGGTACTTATAACCCTACTTACTAAGTCCCATGACCCTCCAAGCAGCCGAGGGGCGACTTCCTGAAGGCTGACTACCTTGAACCTCGTGGACCTACACCATCGGATCTCCCCACTAAATCTGCACCCGATATGCTCCTCCGCCTCCTCCTGGGCAGCCTCATCCGCTGCCTCCACCGAAGTCACGCGTTTCAGGGTTTCGGCTTCAGCGATCAAGGTCTGCATAACCCTAAACCTCTAAACCCTACCTAAACCATAAACCCCTAAACCCCCAATAAGGGTTGAGGCTTCAGGGATCAAGGTTTGCATAGCCCTAAACCTCTAAACTCTACCTAGACCCTGAACCCCAAGCCGCTAAACACCTAAACCCTAAAACCGAAACCTCTAAACCCCTACACCCTAAATCCCGAAACCCTGAGCCCTGAACCCTAAGCCCTGCACCCCTAAAACCACAAAGCCCTAAACCCTGAACCAAAGATCGGTACCCAACAAAGCTCCTCCTGGTTTTGAGGCTAAGAGCTCGTCGTGCTGAAAAACGGCGGAGTAGACATAGGGCCCCCCAATAAGGTAGGGATATCCCTATAAAATGCTTATGCCTATGTCCTTTTTGGGTCCCTAAATACAAAGAAGGACGGTGACCTTTGTGTGAGCATTCCGTTTTGCATCTTTTGCCGGAGGTGGAACATAAGTCGAGAAAGTCTATCCCTAAACCCTAAACCCCTTTACTCGGAGTCTTGACGGCAAAAAGTTGTCGCAAGCAGTCCAAGCACCCCCCGGATTCATGTGCCTGAACTCTGCAACATGCACACAGTGGCACGGTTGATGATATAAGTCCTGCATTACCCATGATCGGGAATATACCGTCATTCCCATAGTTTAGGGTCATTACGGTAATGCAGGATTTATCTCCTCAACCGTTCTGCTACTATCTGCTACTAATGCGTGATGCTACTAATGAGTGAGGCCGCTATGAGTCCGGCCATCCAGCCTGAACATTGTATGCTTTGGCTGCATTTGGGAGTTTCCAAATTAGGGTACCTTAATTTGGGGCCCTTATCGTGAGGATCCTACTATTTAGGGTGCTACCTTTGGGTCCCCTATTTTCGGAAACTCCCATTTGGCAGCTTGTAGCTTGAGTTTTGCTACGCGGGTCTATGAGGTTACCCTGAAGGATGCAAAACCGTACAGCCCTCTTCAAACGAGCTTTGGCGTTTTGCATGGAGTTGTGTTAGAAAGATCTCGGCCCAAGAGTGGTGGTCGAGATGGGGGGTACTTGAGGATCATGGGACTTAGAAAGAAGGGTTAGAACAACCCTGATTGGGGTTATACGTCATTATAAGTAGAGTTACCCTAATTATAACCCTAGTTGCTATCCGAACCAGATCTCCAAGTTCGTCAGCCATTGCTGACAGAAGCCTAAGGCCTTACTTTCGAAGAGCTTTTCGGCACGCCAGAATTGCTAGGAGACTGTTAGCTTTGAATATTAGCTCCAGCCGAAAGACTGTCAGACTTAACTACTCGTGCTGTTGCGCTGGGCTTGCTTGCTTAGAACCTTGTTGTGTCGTAGGTGGCTTGGTTCGTCTTGCTACTCAGTTACTCATCATGTTTAAGCTGTCTCCGATCCCACGATCTACTCCAAGTCGAACCCTGGTGCTTTCTGCTGGCGTGCTGTACGGTGGACGCCTACTACAGGGACATAAGATTGATACACTCAGACCCCAATATTACATGCAAAGGCTGAAGGAAACGTTTTCTCTCCGCGAATCCAGCTGGAAGCGGGTGCTGGGGCAGTATGCTTTGGCCCCACACCCGAACATCCTGAATTCTTGGCCACATCATCGGATGTGACCGGAGTAGGATTTGCCAGCTTGCGAGAACAGCTTTCGATTAGGCTTTGCGGGCTCGTGCTCACCTCAGCCCATGGACGAGAACATCCAAAAGTGGGATCGAATACCTGCTAGCCGCAGCCTCTTCATTAAATCCAGCGCCGTGTCCACATTCCGGTCCTGGTCCACCAAAGGCCCCCAATCCTGAGAGTAGTGTCGATATACCCCACCCTCAGCTTATTGGTAAAAAAAATTGGGCATAGTGTGTAGGACGCAATCATCTAGGTTGACGGTGGATGCACTGCGAATGTGACTTAAATTACACATGAGCCCGGTTGCTGTCTCGAAGACTGCGCACTTCAACCCCCATGCTGCCAGAAAACAAACCTTGGTTTGCAAACTTCCGCCAAGAGTCCATCTTCTTGCCATCGAAATCGAAACGATACTCCAGGAAGACTTCATCCACCAGAGCGCTGAGCTCCGGGTGGCGCGCCAGAGCCTCCATGATCGCCAGCTCCGGCCCGCTACGGACGTCCAACCTAGGGTTTAGAGTTTATAGGGGTTTAGGGTTTAGGGTTTAGACCAACCTCTGCCATGCCCAGATACTTCGTGACTACTACCCATAGGCTGCATTGTAGTTAAATTTTGGTGGCTCATATTTAGGATCCTATGAAGAAATCCCAAAAAGGAACTATTATGGATACATCGTGACTACAGCAGCCGCTGCTTCTGCCAGTATTGGCGCTGCCACTGCTGTGGTATTAGTAGCGGTCGCACAAGTAGCAGTAACAGTAGGAGTAGGATGAGAAGTAGTAGTTGTCGTCGTCGTCGGGGTTGTGATAGGAGTAGGAGGCAGAGGAGAAGGAAAAGGAGGATTAGGAGGAAGAGAAGGAGTAGGAGGAGTAGGACGAGCACAGGAGTAGTAGGAGCTGTGGCATATTGCTGTGGCTGCTATTACTGCCACTACCTGGCTAGGCTAGCCCCGGGTAAGCGGCGGCTTTTATCCTAAGGTGGCTGCGACCTAGCCGCTTCACGACCACGTAATCGTCCGGCTTGGCGGCGTAAGGAAGCATGTGCAGAAAGCTACCCTTTTCTGCGAAGATGCCAGTTGCCGTCAATGCACAGTGTGTCTCATTGACAGCCACGTTGTAGAAACGTGTCCGGGCGCCTGGGCAGCACTCTCAAAGTTGAAGAATTCTGCGTGAAATCGCAGCTCCGGACTTCGAAACCGTCAGAAGCCTCAAGCCGAACAGCCCTGCATACTCTACTCTACCCTAAATCCTAAACTAACAAAGAAAACTAGATCCTTAAACCATATCCCTGCATGTAAGGGCTAAGCCTTAAATCAAACTTAACCTAAAAAGGCCTTACCCTGTGGATCTGACCTTTTGCCTTCAAGGTTTGAGACGTGTGGGAGCCCTGGTCCTTGCTTAATGCCTCGAATTTCAGCTTCTGTCTGCGCAATCCCTAGAGGACCCAGTGCCACCTGTAAGTATCCATGACCCAGTTGCAATGCTCACACTTTACGAAACCTCACAGTATACCAGCACCTTTCCTGAACCTTCCACTGGCCCTTCGCCCCTAAGCCACCAACCCCAAAACCCCGCAGGCCTGGGCCCCCTAAGCCCGCTACACCTGTCCCCTTTTTTTACCCTAAACTACCATAACCTACGTTTTGTAGGTTCTTAGCATAAATTCTCATATGGATTTTGTAGGGGCCCTACAAAAAAAGTAGGTTTTGATAGGTTAAGGCAGGTTGCAAGCCTAGCACCCCAAGAGGCTAAAGAGTTTCACCTTGAGTGCCTTTGGTGCTTAAGGACTCAGGGCCGAGAGTGGGCTTTAAGGTGCCGCCATGCTAGAGATCAGTGCGCCCAACACCCTAATCCTACACCCCATTACCAAAAGCCCTAAGAAAACAGCTACGTTTATAGCACGGTCGATGCCCAGTGGCGGAGATGATCCGGCAGCGGATCCCACCAGTCCTTCTGGTTTATCTGCCCACCTTCCCAGACGTAGAGGTCATCGAACTCCAAGCAGCGATCCTTTCGTTTGCCTACTGTAGGGGCCTTCCTTAAAGGGATCTAATTATGGGGTTCCTTAAAGGGATCTACAGGGTTTATAGGGTTTAATAGTCTACTTGGAGCATCATGGGACTTAGTAAGTGAGGTTATAAGTACCTTAATTGGGGTTGTAAGTAATTAGAAGCATAGTTGCCTTAATTAAAACCCTAGTTACTAAGTCCCATGACCCTTTAAGTGAACCATGACCCCAAACCCTGCAACCCCCCAAAATCTGGAGGTTTACAAGCTGAGAGATCGAATTAAAGGCCTTGTGTTCTATGGGCATACTTGGGATTCCTGGGTTGGCGATTGAGGTTTTTGCCTCATAGACAGGTGGCGTTCCGGTTTTGATACAGAGGACTTGCGGGTGTCTTCTCGCAGGGTTTTCGGCTTAGGCTTTGAAAGCTTGCAGGACGGGCTTGTTGGACTTGAGGTCGAAGGCTTCGTCGAGTGAGGAGGGGCTTAAATCCCAGGTTACTCGAATGGCTCCGCGACACATGCAGCAATGCCTGCCGAGAGACGATTAATTGTGGAAATCCGAAACCTTAACCCTAACTTATGAGACGACCCAGGGCCGTGAACCCTGCTTGCAGGATCAGGGGAACTCACGAAGTGCTAAACCTCCTGATCCTGCAAACAACCTTACACGCTTACACTGTACAACACCCTTGTGCAAAAGAAACTTGCAAACAAGTGTAGAAACCCTACAGAACCCCTGCAAAACCCAACTCCCGTCGATCCTAAACTCTAAACCTAAATCCAATTCCCTACATCCCCCTCCCCCCCCATGAACAAACAACTCCGCTGCCGAGGATCTCGGAACATGTTGAAGAGCCTTCGCTGCGCAGTTGGAGCGTTAATTGGGGACGTCACCCTTCTAATCAATCCTTCAACAGGTACTATGATGGGGGCCTAAATAATTGCCTATACCATTTTGGGGGATCCTCATTACATTTAAAGCCCAAAACATGGAAACCCAATAGCCTCAATCCTCAAGAGTAATGTATAGGGAATCCCAGCACTATTTGGCCTTAATCCGGTTTGCAACTTTATGGGGTTTACTGTAAGGGACTTCCCCTTCGACATGTTTTTCATGTTGAAACGGTGCTATATATCAGACCTGCTATAACTGTCATTTTCAAGCGTCCCAGAAAAGTCAAAAAAAAGGTGCTCGTTTCAGCTTACACTGTGGGCTTTAAACTTACCATCCCCCAAACCAATATTAATTTTACCATCCCCAAAAAGTCAAAGCTTGCAACCTCAGCTTCCCTAGAGTAGCCATAAGGATCCCTTAGAGCAACCCTTAAAGGACACCAGGGAGCAGCACCACCGAGCTGACGGCTCCAAACTGGCTACGGTAGTCAGCCTTCAGGAAGTCGTCCCTCGGCTGCTTGGAGGATCATGGGACTTAGTAACTTAAAGGGCTCCCTAAAGGAGTTCCTTAAAGGGTTCGATAAGGGATCTATAGGGGTTTAGGGTTCGGGGTTTACTTGGAGGATCATGGGACTTAGTAAGTCGGGATATAAGTACCTTAATTGGGGCTATGAGCAATTATAAGTATAGTTACCAAAATAATAACCCTAGTTACGAAGTCCCATGACCCTTTAAGTGTTCTTTGAGTCGGGATTTGGGGTTTAGGGTTGAGGGTTCAGGAAGTCGTTGCTGGGTTGTCACTTGCTTCAGGGCTTAGTGTTGAGGGTTGATAGGGTTGATAGGGTTGATAGGGTTGATAGGGTTGATAGGGTTTAGGGCTTAGGCTTAGGGTTCAGGGTTCAGGGTTCAGGGTTTAGGGCTATAGGGTTATAGGGTTATAGGGTTTAGGATAGCCGTTTGGGCCCTTGTTGAGAAACTTAGGTTAAGCTGCCATGATAAAGAAACCATATTATTTACTATCGATCCGTACTGTGAAAACTTAATCTAAGTTCTTACCAAGATCGCAGTCGTTGCATGTCTACAGGCCAGAAAACCCACACCTCGACTCGTCCTCATGTAAGCAGCTAGGGTATTTCGGTTCTGCAAATAGAAATAAACTCAAGGGATGGTGTGTTTGGGTTAGGGCCTAGGCTTAAGGCCTTATGGCATAGGTTGTAGCCCCGGCGCTTCTAGCTATGTGGGTGTATGGCCTGCAGGAGCAGATGTGTGTATATATATATATACAAATATGCATGCACATGTATCTATATATATATATGTGTGTGTATATAAAGGGGTGTGTGTGTATATATATATATATATATATATACATATGTATATATATATATAGATAGAGGGATAGATAGATAGATAGCTCCGGGCAAGTAAGGCTTCATCATAGCAGGATCGTCCCAGAACCCTCTACACTCAACCCCAAGCCGTACCGAGACGCTTCAGTGTGGTCGCTCTCCACTTCGGGGTACTCGCCATGCTGAACAACTTTGCTTTCGGCTTGCCTCCTGCGAGCGAAAGATTCGGGTCGAATTGTGGGGCTTAGGGTTGAGGGCTTAAGGGTTTAGGGTTTAGAGGGTTTAGGGTTTGGAGGGGGGGGTTTAGGGGTTTAGGGTTTAGCGGGTGAGGCTTGAAACGGGCTTAGGGTTTAGCGGGTGGTTTAGGGTTTAGGGTAGGGGTTCAGCCTGCACTTCAAAACCCTTTACCCCTAAACAAGCTTTTTATAGGAACTTTATCACAACCTTCAGAAGGAAACCTTGAATCCTGATCACAACCTAAAACCCGAATATAGAGGCCCTGACGCATAGTATACATCCCCAGGCCGGCCGAAGGTTTCGAGCTACCAGCAGTATGATCTAGTCTGCAAACTCTTGCGGAGTAGCAGAGAGCCCCCCGTTTTAGCATCAGAACATGTTTTAGGCTGCGGAGGAGGCACCAAGGCCAATTTGTGTCAGGAGTCTATGAGGAAGATGGTGGGGTGGTTGGAGTAATTAGGCTGCTCCGGAATGTTCAAGCTTGTGGCTCGGACTATCGCTCCACAGTAGTCTGATCATAAACCCTTTCTTGAAGCTTACCGGGGCTTGTAAGGGCTATATGAAGGTGTTACAACGGCTCTACAAAGGTTCTAATTAACTGCACACCCTCAACTCAAGCCCGAAACTCCAAAAGCTCAAAGCCTCCAAAACGCCCTATCCTGGCTGCGCACAGTAGTTCTCCAGGACTAGATACCTCAGTTCGCCAGGACCGCAGCGTTCCGACGGATGATGAGCGAAATCCTCCTTAAGCACCGTGGACCAGTGGAATTATAGTTGTTATACATGCGTATATATATATATACACATACATATATACACATTTATGTATGCAACACTTCTTATCTTGGATGAAGTTGCACTGTTGTCCATTAACAGTAGTCCACATCCAGCCCGACTGCAACAAACGAGGAAGCCAACTTTACTCTTCAGTTAACCGCTGAGCCGCATGCACCTTCCCAAAGCAAAGTACTGTTAGGTTGTAGGGTTTAGGGACCCGAAACGTTCACCCAAAACCATGGAACAAAAAAAAAAACAACAATTTGCACCCGGAAGCTCAAAGCTAAACTCAACAAGACTCCAACCTTGCAGTAGGCCTAGAAGACACTGTATGACCCTGCACCCCTTCGATTGCCAGACCTCCGGGAGGATCCAGAAAGTAGATCCCTTCAGGGAGTTCCTATAAAGTACCCGTCCCAAATTAGGGCTTTTACTTTTTGGATCCTCTGGGCCTCGGTTGCAATCCTTAATAGGAACCCTAAGAAGATTGAAGGGCTACTCCTTAATTGAGGGATATTGATTAGAATCCCTTAAACCCTAAACCCTGTGGATCCCCTGAAGGACCCCTTATAGATCCCTTGTTGGGAACGCTTGCAATCCTTGCTAGGCCGGTGCTGGATGTCGCGATCCTCCTCTGGTCCACCCCCGCCGCAGAGCGCTTGCGGATTGCGCGCCACCCCAGACCTGACTCCGGTGTAAGGTTTAGGGTTTGGGGCCTGGGGGTTTAGGGTTTAGGGTTTGGGGGGTTGAGGGTTTAGGGGATTAGGGTTAAGGGTTTAGAGGGTTTAGGGTTTGGGGAATTAGGGTTTAGGGGATTAGGGTTAAGGGTTTAGAGGGTTTAGTGATGAGGGCTCCCTTACGGGGTTTATATGGGCAGCTCTCTAAATTCGGGTCCCGTTTAGACTGAAAGAGCCCTAAAACTGCAAACCTTCAACTGCCGGCCGGGAGGCAGAGGCTCAATCCAGTGTGGCCGGCCATCCTGCTGGGTGTCTTGACTTAAAAGGTCATGGGACTTAGAAGCCCAGGGTTTATAATTAGGGTAGCTATATATAATTATAATTGCTTATATACCCCAATTAAGGTACTTATAAGCTTACTTACTAAGTCCCATGATCCTCCAAGTAAGGGTTCCTTCTTTCAGGGTTTAGGGTTCCCGGGAGGTCTCCTTTCACGGCTCCTTTAGAAGTTAGGATTAAATTTCGGGCTTAGGTCCCTCGGTCTTTTTTGGGGGTTAGGTTTCGGGTCGAACTTCGACCGTCCCCTGTAGGTCCCAGAACGCAAGGCGCGGGGTTCGGAGCTCGGAGCTTCAAGCCTTGTGAATAAATCATTCATGGCTTCTGGCCGAACATAGAAGCCTTTACGGTTTAGGTTTCAGGGGTTTAGGGATTCATGCCTTTAGGGTTTTTAGGTTTAGGGGTTAAGGGGTTCATGGCCTTGATTGAACCCAGCATACAGTCGTAGAAGCCTGAGTAATCAGTGACGCAAACACTTAATTGCTGATGCATCATACCGACTTGCGGTCCAAAAAAATACACTACTAAATACCCCGAAACGGTCACTGGTCTGATTATTCGGGCCCATATATTACGGCTCTTGGGACGGTTGTCCGCAGGGTTGGTGCATGGGGGGGTCATGTGAGCAGCGAGATGAGCACCCGATTGACATTGAGGAATGCCATACCTCACAACCCTGAACTACCCTCACCACATACCCGCCCTAAAGTCCGAAGTCATCCCAGGAAAAACCTGTAGAAACCACATTCAGCCACAGAACAAAAACTCTGTCAGTTTCCTGTACCCCGCCCGTCCCCCCGACCACCACCCTGGAACTGCTTGGTGGGTCGGGGGACTCAGCAAGTAGGTAGTGATTTTTAGAGACATATAAGTATCATAACCCCAATGCGGGTCCTTGGCAGGTACTTATACGTCTACTTAATACCTACTTACTAAGTCCTACCTACGACCCTCCAAGTAACCCCTGTCCTGGTACCGGAAGTGCGACAGTACCTGGGCTTCCTCCTGGCTCGGATTCCGGGGAATCTCGCCAGGGGAAGGCTTGAAGACGTCCTTGGAGTAGTTGAGCCACAGCGCGGCCTCCAAGATTAGGGTAGTAAACTAAGGTAGTAGGCTTTCAAGGTTCGGCGTTTATATAGGCTTGCAGGGTGATAAGAGCTGAGGGGCTTCGGAATGTAGGGCGTCATCCGGGATGTGCGATTCCGAAGATTCCGGCTGAGACTTGCCATGGGCTGCATGCTGGGGCAGACTACCGCATACGAGGGCTTTCTGCGGTGAAGGCTCTTGTAGCTTAGGCAGGGCATGCGGATTATGGTCTTGGAGCAAACCCGATCAACAGCAAGCCAGGTAACTTAGACGTCTAACAAGGTTAACATACACACAACCTGCACCTCCAAAGTATGCTAAACACACCATTCGGTGCGTCGTCATGGGACTTGCTAGTATTGGCCGATACCACGCGAACCCATCAGATGCCAATCCCCACTTGAATGGGCATGGCTGCACCCGCAGCCCAAGTCTGAACTCATGCCCCTGACCCTAAACGGCACAAAACCTGAATACCATAATAGTTGATGACAAAGGATGCGTGTAATATAGTGCAATACTATACTATGTGATAGACTATAATAAGAGAAAATAGAACGAAGTGTAGTACGTATAGCATAGTATAGTACAGTACGGTATAGTATAATGGTATACTAAATACAATTGAAATACAACACCCAATAATATATTACGACACAATATGATAGAATAGAATGTGATATAATAAGACCTAATACAAGATAATAAACTTTCTATCACAAACCCGGGCCTGCTCAAACCTTGTAACATATTGCGATATTGCATTACCTGGAGGCTCCACATACAGTACCATTATGGAATTAGGTCCTTAACACCTGATAAGGATGGTCTTTAGGGGTCTAATTCCATAATGGTACTATGTATGGAGCCTCTGGGTTATATCATGTAACCAAGAAAATCGAAGTTTCTAAGACCGACCCCGGCCTGCTCCTTCTGCTGCTGCGCAAGCTGGCAAATCTGACCCGCACGGGGCTGCGAGAACCACTCCTGCTCCTCCAAAGCTTGAACGTTGCAGGGCTAGGGGTTTAGGGGCTGAGGGGTTTAGGGGTTTAGGGGCTTAGGCTTAGGGGTTTAGGGGGCCCAGGGGTTTAGGGGTTTAAAGGTTTAGGGGTTTAGTGGCCGGGCTTGTGCAACTTGCCCTGTCCTGACCTACTGGACCTCACCTTAACCTACCAAACCCTACTTTGTTCTTAGTATGAATCCTAATGCGGAGTTTTTACAGGGACCCTACAAAACAGTAGGGTTCGATAGGTTACTTAAAGGATCATGGGACTTAGTAACTAGGGTTATAATTAAGGTAACTATACTTATAATTGCTCATAACCCCAATTAAGGTACTTATAACCCGACTTACTACGTCCCCTGATCCTCCAAGTAGACCCTAAACCCTAAACCCTTATAGTACCCCTAGCAGGTCCCTTAAAGGGACCCTTAACCCCTTACTTACTGTAGGTTAAGGTGTACCCTAACCTCCGACTGCGGCCCAGGTACCATGGCACTGGGGACATACTGGAAAGGCGCTCGGGCACCCAAGGCCACCTTGCGCAGAGGATTCGGGGCTTTGGGGCCTTAGGCTTTAGGACTAGGATTTATATGGGTGGTTGTCAAAATTATGGTCCCTTTATGGGTACCCTAAATAAACGGTGCGGTATTAGAATAGGGCCCCAAAAAGGGACCCTAATTTTGACAGCCACCCATATGATGGGTTTCAGGGCTTAGGAGTTGAAGAGTTTAGGGCGTCTAAGGTTTAGTGGCATAAGGCTTGGGGGTTTAGGGCACTTAGAAATTTCGGTTTAGGAGCTTCTGGATTTTGCCTAAGGAGTTTCAGGGTTCGGAAATCACTTTTCCTGCTTACTCTGTTCTTGTAGCACATGTTCTTGTAACACAAGTTCCCTTGCGAGCGATGCTACCCCTAACTACTGAGGATCATGGCTCTAGGAGCGCCTAGAAACAGAAGGACTTACCGGGGCTCGTTAAGCAAGCTCCCATCATAAGGAAAGCCGACCCTCGTAAGTGTTTCCAAGATTAGGACGCGTGATGCCCCCAAACCCCATTCCACTGGCCCCACCACTTAAAGGGCCATGGGACTTATAATCACTTCTAACCCCACTTACTAAGTCCCATGATCCTCATGTCACGGAAAAGCCCGCCTGCTGTCCGAGAACTGGCACGCAGGGATCCTTCCCGCGCAGCGACCAGGCGGGAGCTGCCTCGCTTAACTCGGGCTTGAGGTTTGGCATTTAGAGTTGAAGGTTAAGGGTTTATGGGGCTTTAGGGTTTATCCTCAAAAAGGTTTATATAGGGTGGTTTAACGTTTAGAGGACCAGGAAAGGGCCTTCATCGACATTCGGATGTGCTTTTGCTGCGGGGTTCAAACTCCACTTAGGAACTGCCTTCGTTAGTTGCGAATCCCGGGTTAAAAGTCTGCCATACGTCCTGAGCTCAGGGTGAAAGTGCTGGCTTAGGGTATTTGGGGCCGTTTATATGCTTGAAATCCTGTTTGCCTCCCAACCCGGCCGGAAACCCTCAAGAAGCCCCCGATCCTGAAAGCCCCAAGACAGCACCGAACAAACCAACCCCGTGAACCGTGAAAGGCCTAAGGGTTCACGGAAACCCTGATCAAAGCCATAACAGTTAAAAAGACAAAAACAAGCCCCAAAAAAACCTTTATCCCGCTTTAACGCCCCCCAAATGCCCAAAACCCTGAGGCCATACTCGTTCTCCAAATCCTCAAACCTTCCCCCCACAGCCCCCAAATCCCTTCAATCCACACCACCAAAACCCTAAAGCTCCTCAACCACCAAGAAGACAAAGCCTAGGGACCAAGCACCTAAAGCAAAACACGTTCTTGCAAAACCCCTTGCGAAGCGTTTGAAAAAAGACACGTAAAGTAACCCGAAAGGAACCGTTATAATAGTAACCCCTAGAGGAACCCTTGTTAATAGGGCCTTAATAATTGGAATAGGGTTTCGGGTTTTTTATAGTGTAACTACAATGAGGAACCCCCAAAATAATGTAGGTAACTTTTAAGGCCCCTACACAAAAACCCTTAGATAAAGCCTATAATGCCCCATAAGCCCTATAGATCCTTTTAAGGAACCCCTATGGGATCTGCTTCTTGAAAGGAGCCTGGGGGGCGGCCGGCACAGGCCCCAGCCCCGGAGCGGAGGCCGCGCCGCCGGGGACGCCGGCAGGCAGAGCGCTCGCTTCCGCTTCGCCGGGGCTCCTTGGAGCTTTTGGCTTTAGGGCTCCTTTGAAGGGCAAACCTATAGGGGTTTCAGGGTTCCTTTACAGGGAAAGGAAAGCCGGATTTTTCGGGCTCGTTTAGAAAACTGGTGGTTTTTAGGGTTCCTGTTGGGTTACTTTAAACGGGAAACCTAGACGCTTTAGGGTTCCTGTAAAGGGAAAACCTAGGGGTTTTGGGCTTGCTTTAAAAGGAAACTCAAAGGTTTTAGGTGGTTTCGGTTTTCGGGAGTTTGGGCTTTGACACTCTAGGGTTTTAGGCTTTCGGGGTTGAGGGTTTTTACGGCATTGGGTTTTAGGTTTCCAGGTCTAAAAGCAGGTTTGGTTGAGGCACAGAGTTGTAAGGGTTGTAAACAGATTTTCGGTTTTAGGGCTTTCGGGGTTTTAGGTTTCCCGTGCTTGCGCCTTAGAGCCTTAGGCTTGCAAGGCTTTATGGCTTGGGTTAGGACTGTAAATTCTGTTTTGGGGGTTATGGCTTCGCGGCTGCACTCAAAGGGAAGCCTTGCAAAGGTATGGTTGAAGAAAGGTTCATACAATGATACAGGCTTTCGGGATTCAGGGCGTCTTGGTTTCAGGATATCCGGTAATTCGTTAAAACTGCATGAGAATCGCCTCTTGAGACAATCGCTTCAAGGATCCCCCAACAGAACCAATTCAAGTATTCAACTACTCCTTCAGACCTTCACGACAAGCCGAAAGCCCTGAGTCCTCCGCCCTAAACCCCGATCCCCTCAACCCTGAAACCCCAAAGGCCCCTACTTCAAGCCTCTGAATGGAACCCTCCTAACTCCGAATGCTCTAACCCTCAAGTAGCCTGTAAAGGAACCCTTACGATATCCTGTAAAGAAGCCCTTAGAGCATCCCTTGAAGAAACCCTTACAGGATCCACCCTGAAGCAGTCTAAGGCTCTGAACCCTAAACCTAATCCCTCAAGAGATCCTTCAAGCCACCCTACAGCAGCCGAAGGCTCTAAACCCCAAACCCCCAAACCCCTAAAGCAGCCGAAGGCTCGGGTCTGCAGAAAAGCCCGTCGCTACCGCAGAGAGCTTCGCGGAAATCGTTTTGCAGCTCAGAGGAGACTGGAACCTCGGGCTTCTAGGGTCCTGTGAAAGGGAAAACCTAGGGATTCTGGGGGCTCCTTTGAAGGGTTTAGGGTTTAGGGAAACCCTAAACACTAAACCTTAAACCCTTGTTTACAGGGATGGCATTGCTCCGATGTCGGGCGTTTTGGAAACCTTAAACCCTCAATCCTGGGCGTTAGGGTCTTGGGTCTCGGGCGTCAGTCCCGAAAAGTTCTCACAAAACATCTGAGTCCAAGGCATCATTAAAGCAGCAACATTTTGTGCTGCGCGTTCTTTGTGTTCAGTTCAATCCTTCGCCACAGTGCCTCCAACTACCCACAAGCCCAAGTGGCAGATGTAGGAAACAAAGAGGGTTTAGGTTTTTAGGGCTTGAGGTTTGAGGGTCTTGAGGCTTAGGGTTTTCGAGTTTTCGGGTCTTAGGCTGTGCGGGTTGAGGGTTTGGGGTTTGAGTGTTTAGGGCTCTAGGGCTTGGGTTGTAAAATCTTGGGCTGATGGGGTGTGAATGGGTTGCGGTTGGAAGCCACCATGATCCCAGACAAACAAACCGAGACCACGAAGCTGCACCAGATATGACAGGAAACCCTAAACCCTAAACCCGTAAAACTCTAAACCCTAAACCCAAAGCCCTAAACTATGACAGGGACTTGTGCCGTGGAGCAGGAAGGCACCGAGGCACATCACGGCCACCAACGCCACGAGCCTCGCGGTGTGCGCTAGCATGGTTCTGCCAAAGCCAGAGTACTATTGGGGCCTAATAACAATAGTTAGAACAGGGTTGCGGTGTATATCATAAACTACATTAAATGGGGAATCGCAATATAGTATTGACGATTATTTCAGCCCCTTTTGAGCCAAGAGCAACAGATTCTGGATGTTTGATTGGGCCCGAAGGCCAGTTAGCTGCTTATTAGTTTCTTGCCCCTTTATTATGTTCGCAGTACAGCAACCCATCCCGCAGGCAACACTGGGTTTCTAGGGTAAGTATGTGCTGCTCTGGGTACGACCGCACCTGCACCTACCACCGAAAAGTCCGAGCAGCACCCTGCCGAAGCCGAAGGAGCCATCCTTAGCAGGTCCGGCGCTTTGGTGTAGGGTGCCGCCCCTAACTATCGTGGGAAGCCCCAGGGGGCGACTCTCTCCTCAGTCGTGTGCTCTTCGTATCTCCCTATGCCTCGAAGGATCTCCATCTAGCCGCTGGGGTTTTGGACCTTGGGATTTGTGAGCCGCAGAAGTCAGATCGGGTTTAGGATGCTGATCGTATCTTTATCCTACATTCGAAGCTTGACTCGGCGCCGAGCTTCCCTGAACCCTAAGCGCGATACCCAAGGCTGTAAAACCCGACTGTGGAGCCTTTTTTGCGAAGCCTGGCCGCCCTGGCCTCCGCAGTCCTAGAAACTCTTCGCACTGGCCATTAAGCCTCAAATAAGCAGAAGGCAAGCGCACCGCCTGACAACAGACTACACAGCCTATAATGCCTCCGTCCCACAACCCGCAACTACACGTAACAAGTGCTACGTCTACATACATGTGTTTTATGCAGCATTCATGCACATATACACAGGGGTATGTATAAACGTGCGTGTAGATGCATGTGCGTATGTATGTACGTACGTACGTATTGCATACAAATGTATGCACGTATGTATGCACGTATGTATGCATGTATGTACGTATGTATGTGTGTACGTACGTATGGAAGCAAACCCGTACTCTCTGCGAACACATATCAGGACCATGAAACGTAGACACGACTACTGCAAAGCGCCCTCAATTCCGAAGCCCCAAAACCCGATCCCTAAACCCTACATCCAAAAACCCGAAACTTCAAGTGAGCTGCTGCCATTTTGCAGTCCTTGGCTGGCGGAGGCAGGCTTTGTTTGTTTGTTTATTCACGTATGTATCGGCTTACTTGTTTGTTTAGTTGTTGACATTACATACATATATGTAGATGTACAAACATACCTACATGTGTATGTCTGTGTATATATATATATATATATGCATGGATGTGTCTCTTTTGTTACCTATTCATGTATTGATCTATTGATCTATTTTGCTGTGCCTGTACTGTCTACTCATGTATGTATGTGTATATATGTATATATATATATATTACACATACACATATGTGTGTATATATATACTTACATATATACGCACATACTTCGTTGAATACACATACGCACATACATACATATGTATACATCCGCATTCGCTACATACATATATACGAATCCAGTGTGTGTGTGTGTGTGTGTGTGTATTTATATATACCTATGTACCCACACATACGATCACGCTTTTACTACCACCCCTCCGCCAACGTTTTCTTTCAAGGGGGGCGGACTGCTTCGGTTCGGGGGTGTAGGGGGTCATGGTCATGGCACTTCGTCATATGCCCCTGAAGGTTGTTGTTGGGGATGTGTGTCCAGTTCTGTAGTTCTTCTTGGCGAGCTCTTTATGAGTAAGGCTTTGAGCGTTCAAGCACCTTGCAAGGACGTCAAGATCTCGAAAAAATATGTCATACAAAAAGCAATGATGGCGTCAGCGAGCCCCTAGTTAACCCTAAACCCTAAAGCCCACACCGCAAGCCCTTATCGAACCCTTGCAGGAACCCTACTACAGCCCCTGTGAAGTGGGTAGTAAGTAGACTTAGAAGTACCCTACACAGGGTCCTAATTGGGGATACGTTACTTGTACAACTTGTAAGTCCATAAGAAACCTACTACCCTAAACCTGCAGAGTGATCAATCTTCCAGTGTGGCTGTCGCGGAAGCCCAATGTACAACCCGCTTCACCGATGCGATGGCTCAAGGCTCAAGGTCGGAAAAAAGGTGAGTGCGCTGCGCTTAGGCATGGCGACTCCGAGTGACGATCACGTTTTAGCCCAGCTACCGGCTGCCTATGAGCAACAGGTCATGGGCCCAAGTGGCGCGGATGCGCGAAGGCAAGGGTCGCTGCAAGCCTCGGCGGGGATGCCGAACGGCACGGAACCGACAATGAGAAGAACGGGCCGAGCAGGCGACGATGCATATGAGCGAGCTCTGGCAAGCATGGCGACGAGGTCTGGGATGCAGCATCAAACCGGATCGGGCGCGATGGGAGCCAGTGATGAGCGTGCGAGTGAGCAGCCGCGGCTGGAGGAACGGTTGTCTGGAATGCGAAGTGAAGGACAACCAGGTACATTGGATCGTCCGTTGTTACCTCATGCTGCTTTGGGGAATGTTTTAGTACCTGAAGAACGTGCGGAAAGGGACGCAGCGGCATCCTTGTTTCCTTCGCCGTTTCCATCGCCAGGTGGTGGAGAGGAGCTGGCCACACCGGGTTCGGCGACTTCTCTAGCACAACATGGAGCGGCGGCTATCAGGTGGTTTTCAAGGTTGGGTGAGTTCGTACAACGCAAGACGGCAACAGTGTCAAGGACCCAGCCTGGTATGGAAGCCACGTTGTATCAAGAGACTGTCTGGACACCAGGAGGATCGAGACCGGCAAATCCTTCGAGCCAAACTCCTTTGTTTTCTGGACAGCAGGTACAGCGCATGCGAGAAATGACGGCCGCCGCACCTCAGCTGTATGGATCCACGGGTGGAGGAGGAACTTCCTCGGATGCGTCGGGCTCCTACTCGAGGGATCAGCTTGAGGCGGAGGTCAAGAGACAAGTACAAGCAGCGATGGGAGGACAGCGCGAGCTGGTGGAGGAAAATCAGATGCTTCGCCAAGAAGTTGAGAGGCTACGACAGGCCTCAGCGGCGGGTGGGAACTCTGAGACTCCGGCCCAGCTTCGTGATGCACAAGGACCTCCGGGGCTTTCGATCCAGGACGGTGGGGGAGGGAGGCTACCAGAAGGCAATCCAGCGGGACTTCCTCTACAAGGTCGTGAGCAAGGGGGTGCTTATGGACTTTCGGGTCATGATGGAGTACCAGGGGGCAATCTTCGAGGACTATCGGGTCAGGGTGAAGGGCGCGGGGATGAAGGGTATCCTAGCCAACACGGAGGTCGCGATGGTAATCTTCAAGGACCACCTGGGCATGATCATGAGCAAGAGGGTCTAGGAAGTCAAGAGAGAGAGGGGACTGGACGCGCAAACCTCTTTACCGGAAGGCTACCAGGAGGCAATCCACCAGGACTTCCTGTACAAGGTCGTGAGCAAGGGGGTCGTGTTCGGTTTCAAGAGAGTGGGGTACGTCGGGAAGTTCCAGCTTCGGTACCAGGACTAGAGCAAGAGCCTCAAGGTGATGGTCGGTCACATAGTGATAGCGTACCAGGAGGCAATCCAGCGGGACTTCCAGTACAAGGTCGTGAGCAAGGGGGTGCTTTTCGTAATTTCATGCAGTATGCGACGGGCATCTCTGGGTCCAATAGTACAGCGGAGCAGTATGCGACGGGCATCTCTGGAAATAAGACGTGGAATCCTTTGGGAATCGGGGCCTCACACCGACGGCCTCAAACCCCGGCGAACCAGCTAAGGAGAGTACTACTGGGTCGAGACCGTCGAGCTCTATGGAGGCTTTGGTTCAGGGGATGACGCAACTCCAGGCGGCCATGACTATGCAAATGGGCTTACAAGCAGCGAAGCCGGAACAGATCCGGCCGGGCATGGCAGCATCAGAGCTGCCCAAGCTTCATGAAGCGGACGAGATGGCGGCGATCAATGTTGGTGACTGGCTACATGGGCTCAGTGGGCCTATGGGGGATCTGACGGACGGAAGCTCAGTGTGGTGGTCCAATGTGTTGGAAAGCCTCAACGCCTACTACCAGGACTATGTTACGGCGACGGCGGTGAAGAAGCTACAGTTGAAGGCGGATGGTTACGCTTCGGAGCTCCTTCGCGAGGGCAAGTGGGTTCGAGTGGACAAACGGGCGGCTTCGATGTTACTGCAGGCGATACCAGAGGGAATCCGTTCGGAGGTGCTTGTGCAAAGCACCTTGGCCATCTTGGCGAGGATCCTCACGATCTACAGGCCGGGTTCGGCAGTGGAGAGACAGCAGGTGCTCAAGGCGCTTGAGATGCCGGCGGTGGCTAACAGCCCAATGGAGCTGGTGGAGGCATTGAGGAAATGGGCGAGATGGTTGAAGAGGGCTCAGGATTTGGGACTTCAGGTTCCGGACGCGTCAATACTCCTACGTGGACTTGACAATGCCTCGAAGTCGCAGCTGGAAAGACATGGAGAAGTTCAGTTCAGGACCAACATGCTGCGCTTCAGTTTGGAGCTGGACTCTTCACCATCGGTGACCTCGGTTGTGAAGCTACATCACCACCTGTTGGCAGAGTTCGAACAGCTAGCCTATCGAGGTCGGGGAAAAGGAGGCTCAACAACTACTATGCCATCACTCAAGCCTATGACTACTGCGGAGGGACCAGGGGCCTCTACACCAAAAGGGGGAACCTCACCTACTACTACCTCAGGACCCAAGCCGTGCAAGTTCTACTCCTCGGAGGCCGGATGTCAGCGAGCCAATTGCAGGTTCAGTCACGACTGGAACAGCTTCGCCAAGGAAGACCGCGGCGACCGATGCAAGGGATGTGGGGCTCGAGGACACATGAGGAAGAATTGCCCGGTGAAGGCCGGGGATGGCGGCTCCAAGGCGGACGATGGCAAGGGCAAGGGACAGCCTAAGGTGCGAGCGGCGGCTACTACTGGTCACCGAGGATCAGAAGGGAAGCGAGATGATGGCACAGTACCCTCAGGTGATCCTCAACCATCTTCCTCTACTACAACCTCAGCCTCAGCAAGCATGGATTCGAACTCTACCACGGCACAGGCCCCAGCTTCATCAACTCAGGAGATGGACGAGTTCCTGAGAAACGCCACACAGGTGTTAAAGATGATGACGGACAAGCAGAGTGGTGGAGATGGTGGCGGAGCGCCGTCAATGAAGATGCTGAAGAAGGCGGTCCGGGAGTATGAGGAGAAGATGGCACTGCTGGACTCAGGGGCGACTCACCCACTGCGGGCAGCAACGGAGCCGGAATGGTCGACTGCTCCAGAGGTGGACGTGGTGGTGGCAGGGGACCAGGTGAAGCGCATGCGACAAAATCACACGGGGACTCTGTTGATGGAGCCGTCGCCAAAGAAGACACAAACCATTATCCCGATGGGCAGCTTGATCTCACTTCTCGGCTATGAGGTGAGCTGGACGCGACGCCGATGCATTCTTCGAGCACCTGATGGAGAAGAAGTTGTTCTTAAGGTTTCAGGCGGGTGTCCCGAGTTGAGCGAAACTGCCGCGTTGGAGCTGATCTCGAAGATTGAGGCGGAAAAGCTTGAGAGGCTAAGGAGGAGTACGGTGGAAACGGAAAGGGCTACGCTGCGAGCTCAAATGGTGGAGGTCAATACGATATGGGAGCGAAGCCTAAGGACCTACGTCGAGGACGGGAAGTTCGAAGATGGGTTCCGGGCGGTGGTTTCCATGCCTTGGTGTCAGGACCTCCCAAAGGAGCACCTTGTGAAGTTGGCGGTGGATGTGCCAGGCACAGATGCGAAGGCCTGGGAGCTTATGAAGACCCTCGGGTTTAATCGGAGGATGCGGAAGCGGCTCATGCACAAGGACTGGGTTGTCAAGTTCTTCAGTGGAGCGCGAGGGCCGTTGGATAAAGTCTTCAGGCCCGTGGAGTCCAGCCAGACGGTTGTGGTGGATGTGGACTTGATGCGCGACGCTCAGTGGGATATGCTTCGTGAAGGTGATGGCATTTACAAACTGCTTATGTGGGGTGCTTCTACGGGCAGACTAGCAGCGGCTATGGCATCGGTTCCAAACACCTGTTCGTATGAGCACCTCCTTCGGCTGATGATGATCACTGAGGTGGCAAAGGAGGGACGCAAGGCTTCGTGTGAGCAGATGGATATCCCGGATGATGGGGTAGCAGTGGCGCTGTGGGCGTCATCGGAGGTGGAAGAGGACCCCAGTGCGAAGGCCATCGGCAAACAGTGGTTCAAGGATTGGACTATGCGCTGCTGGTTTAACCTTCTTCACTTCGAGCAAGGAGGATTAGGACACCCGATGCGGAGACCTACTACGATGGCTACCAATATGGATATCACGGAGCTGAGGGGTGTTCGTGACGAGCGTGCCGAAGAAGGGGAGTGGGGATCTCGTTCTACCTGGGCGCCTATGATGCTACACTCATTGGTGCAAGGATGGAAACGATGGAAGGCTCGTTTGGGATGGTATTCGAGAATGGTCAAGACTATGAAGGCAGCTGACAGGCGAGCGTGGGAAAGGCATTTGGCCAACGACCACGTACCTCATCGACCAGATTGCCTACAATGTGTTCACAACTCTACGGGTCGTCCTCACCGAAGGTGCCTTCACAAGGACTGTTACGTCTTAAGTGCAGATACGTTGGGTCCAGTTAGAGTTCCGGGTCCCAAGGGCGAGAAGTTTGCGGTCGTGTTCACCTACCAGTACCCCAAGCAGAAGATGTGCTCTGAGGACAATGAGGTTCTGGAGGAGGAGCTTGAAGGGTGGGACTTGGACGTGAAGGGACCGACCATAGAAGCTCAAGACGAAGTTCACGAGGATGAGGACCTAGCCGACTACAGTCCAGACGCGGAGCCCGGGGTGGAGCTCACTGAGGAGCAGAAGGAGATGATCAAGGAACTTCCTCTACTACCACCTGGAGATGCGGAAGCCTCAACAACTACCCGGAGGGAGCCTGCGAAAGCGAGCGAGGACTGGTGGGAGTTCAGGGAAGCCGAAGGACTCGTTGTAAGACATCATGTACTACCACGAACCACGCTGTTTCGTCCTACGTCTACCAATGGGTGTCCAGTGCCCGCCTTCAAGCTAGAACCTACTCGGATCACGGAGGTCAAGTATGCTGGTGGAGGAGTGGAGACCGAAACGTCGGACTGGCATGGACCGAAGTCAGGGGCAAGGGCTTTAGAAAGAAGGTGGACGGGATCTTCGAGGTTTCGGGTTTCGGCGGCGGAGATCGAAGAGGACGAGGAGGAGTTGCAGCGAGATGAGAGTGCATGGGAGAAGCTCATTGGGGATCTTACCAAGCCTGTGGAAATGGAGACGATCTACCTGGTGTACCCCATACGTGCTCGGCGAGGCGGAGAAGTAATGCTTGCGGTTCAGGAGGCGGTGTTGAGGTTGAAGCTGATGGGGCTTCCAGTGGCCCGCTTGCATTCCGACAGGGGGTCAGAGTTTGCATCAAAAGGGTTGCGAAAGTGGCTGTTGGATAGAGACATCTTCCATACCCGGTCGGAATCTTTGGTGCCTCAGACAAATGGACGCGCCGAAAGAGCAGTACGATGGTTCAAGACCAGGGCGAAGACCTTGTTGGCGGAAGCTGAAGTACCCCTGAAGTTTTGGACGTTGGCCATGCAGCACGCATCCAATCGGAGAGTACATGAGCGATTGGGTTTGACGAAGCCAAAGCTGTTGCAGTTTGGTGAGAAGGTGATGATCAGGAGGAAGGTGTTTGGAAACAACAAGAAGTACGACCTGACGGATCGTTGGGAGCAAGGGATCTATCTTGGCCTGTCCGACACGATCAAGGGCGGGGCAATCGTACTGAGACCGTCTGGGATCATCACCGAAACGTTGAACCTGAAGACGCGGGTGGTGGATCCACATGCACTACTTCGTGAAGCAGCTGTGGAAGAAGCTGAACATGGGGAAGTTGAAGCCCCTATCATCGACCTACCAGAACCGGACCATCGTCTGAAGGGGAAACAGCCCCCACCGGCACTGAGAGTGTTGGACGCTTCTGACAGAGAGGAGTGGGTCTTAGTTTCAGCGTTGGAGGTTCAGGAGAAGCATGCCAAGCAGCTGTACGAGATGGGCAAGTTCGATTTGGAGTCGTGTGCTGAGCTTCTTCGAGAGCTAGAGTTTTCGGGGAAGATGCGAACTAAAGCCCGTGGCGAGGAGGCGAAGTCGATGATCCTTGGAGGTTATGTGCATGGAGGACTTCGTGGGGCGTCCAAGGAATCAAGGAAGCGTCCATGGTTGACCAAGTACCTCAACATGGTGATGCGACAAAAGGCAGCGGAGGACCTTGGGGATCAATGGAGTTGGACGTCGATTGGGATCTTCAAGGCAAAGGACGTTCCACCGCACCGGGATATGCGGAACCGGCCACAGTCGAAGAACTACGTGATGGAAGTGCGTGGGAAAGGCCGAGCGGGATTGTGGATGGAGCAGGATCCTAAAGACGGAGATCTAGAAGAGGATGTTCATTTGGTGGAGCAACAGTTACCGGATGGACAAGTCAAGAAGGGGAAGGTCGTTTGTGTTCAGGGGAGACTCGTGGAGTTTGATCCAAGGAGGCGTCATGCTTACGTTGCTGAAGGTGAAGATCAGTGGTTGCTGGCTGCATTTACCCCCTTGGGTGTGGATAAGCTCCCGGTGGACTCTAAGGCGTATTTGGCTCAATGCGGTTTTCCTTTGACGGGAACTGGAGCTGAATGTGAGGTGGAGGATGATGAGGAGCTCTACAACATGTTCATGGACGACAGCGACCTCGAGGACGAGATTGAGGAGGAAGCGGTGGAGCAACGGGCTAGACGTGTGCGCTGTGTACTACAGCAGGAGTTGGAGGAAGTCCCGGCGGCGGGAAGGTCCGAAACATGGGATCGGCAGCTTCAGGAGGAGCTCGAATGCGCTCAGGAACGGCTGTTGTCTGCTACTACAAGGGCCATGAAGATATCCCCTACCGAGGCAAAGGACTTTGAAGTGGAAAGGCTGTTGGAGTCGCTCCAGGCTCCTCTCGAGGTGGTGCACAATGTGAGTCTACCGGAAGTTAAAAGATATGTAAGCAGATGGAAGGATGCGATCCTCAAGGAGGTGAAGGCCTTGGTAGATTCGGGAACGGTGCGGCGTTTGCAGCCTGAACAGGTACGTGAACTTAAACGATGTGGCCTTACTGTTCTACCTGGAAAGGCTGTATTTACTGCAAAGCCACCCTCCGAATCTGCGGGTCCTGTTTGGTACCGCCGGAAATGTCGAATTGTCGTCTGTGGAAACTACTTGGCCGATGAACCCCTCAATGTGTTTGCGAGTGGCACCTCGTCTGACTCGCTAAGGACGGCAGTGGCAATTGCTGTCTACCGGAGGTGGGCTGTGGGCTGTACTGACGTGTCCAACGCCTTCACCCTCGCTCCTATGCCACGCGACAGACTCTATGGACTGACGCCACCTACTGTGGTGTCAATGGTGGGAGGCTCGGAATGTGGAGAAGTGTGGCTAATAGAACGGGTGCTTTATGGTTTGAGAGAGGCCCCGCGGCTATGGGGGCTTTTCAGGAATGAGCGGCTAGCGTCGGCCAACATCCCCTACCAGGACAAAGTTGTGATCCTCGAGTGCTTGGAAACAGAGGAAAACATGTGGAGGATCCTCTACCAGGGCGAGACTGAGCTGCAGGGCCTGATGCTTGTGTACGTGGATGATATCCTTGTACTGTCTTCGGAGGGCCTCGTAAATGCCATTTACCAGTGGTTGGTGTCGGAATGGAAGTGCTCAAGTTTGGAATGGTTGTCGGAGGGATATATTAGATTCTTGGGGGTTGAACTTCGGAGCTACGAGAAGGGCATCCACCTCTCCCAGTCAGGCTATGTGAGAGATATCCTCAGGCAACATGGTGTTGAAGAAGTTGAGGGTGCTGTTCCCGTACCATGTACTCGAGAATGGCTACAAGATGAGTCGGAAGGTGAAGACAACGAGCCCGAAGAGTATCTGGTGAAGACGGCACAGAAGATGACTGGAGAGGCCTTGTGGCTTTCGACACGATCAAGGCCAGAGCTGGCCCACTCGGTGGCATGTATGGCTGCGCGAGCGGCTAAGAATCCTCAGCGGGCTATCCAGATTGGGAAGAAGATCCTGCAGTTCCTTTCGCGTACGGCGGATTATGGTCTGTGGTTTGAACATGATGAAAGCCAGCCCTTGTTGGTCACGTACTCGGATGCTAGCTACGCGCCAGGAGGAGGACGATCATTTGGCTGCATATTGGTGCAGTTAGCGGGCATGGTGGTCACGTGGCGGGCATCGAAGCAACCGGTGATCACCCTCAGCGTGGCGGAGGCGGAGTTGTACGAGGGCGTTTCGGCTGTCCAAATGGGAATGGGTGTAAAGGCGATGTTGGGTGAGTTGGGCTATGATCCGGTACTACATCTTCGAATAGACAATATGGCGGCAAAAGGCCTGGCGTCGGAGAGTCCGGGTTCATGGAAGACTCGACACCTACGTATTCGAGCTCGGTTCCTACGACAAGAGACGAAAGCCAACCGACTGGTGATCGAGCACTGTCCAGGGCAACTACAAAAGGCAGACATCGGGACGAAGGCGTTTGATGCGCCGAAGTTTCGTGAGCTACTTGTGCTATGGAACATAATGGCATGGACGTCTTTGGGGTCCTCAAGGGTGGCTGTGAAAACGTTGCAGAGCTGGACAAAGCCTAAGGTGTTAATGTTCATCATGGTGTGTATGGTGATCATAAAGGGCGCTGCTGGAGAAGTTGAAGGGCGGCAAGAGCTACAGCTGGATGGTTCCTTGGAGTTCTACTTGGTGCTGATTGTGAGTGTGATCGCGACATTAGCAGTGTGGGAACTTGGAAAGGCCGTAACCAGAAGGTGCTCGAACTGCTTCGACAAGTGGAAAAGGCAGAGGAAAAAGCAGGCACGGCTTCAACAAAGAACGAAGGAGGCTGTGGAAAGAGAGTTCCAAAGGCAAGCAAGCAGCCCTTTGAGCACGCGAGAAGATCGACGAGGCCAAGAAGGTGATGAAGTGCGATGGAGGGGGAGTAGGGTGTTTGAGACACCTGAACGAGCGCGGGGAAGTAGGGTGTTCGAGACGCCTGAACGAGCGCGCGCATCAACCTCTACGGCGGCTTCTACAACCATGAGGTCAATCAGTACGCAGACGGAGATCGAGTATAGGGGTCCTCAATGGATCGATGCTCGAAGATTGGAAGGATTCAATGGTCCTTTCTATGCTACGCCGAATGGAGACTGCATTCATACAGTTCAAGGTTGTCATGGTCAAAGGAATGCTACCGGGCGGTCAAAAACCTTTCGGCTATGCATGTACTGTGATAGAGATCGCCCACTCATGTTAGTAGGAGCACCTCTAGGCTAAAGCAGCCACGAGGTGAGGAGGAGTGCAGAGTGATCAATCTTCCAGTGTGGCTGTCGCGGAAGCCCAATGTACAACCCGCTTCACCGATGCGATGGCTCAAGGCTCAAGGTCGGAAAAAAGGTGAGTGCGCTGCGCTTAGGCATGGCGACTCCGAGTGACGATCACGTTTTAGCCCAGCTACCGGCTGCCTATGAGCAACAAAACCCTAAACCTCTCTTACTAAGTCTATAACACAGCTACCTTAACCTACCAAATGCTGTTTTTGTGTAGGTTCTTATTTTATGAACCCTAACGTGGATTTTATAGGGGCCCTACAAAAAAGTAGGTTTTGGTAGGTCAAGGTACTTACTAATTACCCTCGACTCTCCGAGTCCCTGCACTGCGTGCGAGCATCCTCCAGGGGCCACCGGTGGTCAACGTCGGCAACTTTGCCGCTAAAACTCTGGACTTTCAAGTTACAGGGTTTAGGGTTCAGGGTATAGGATGTACTGGGGTGGAGGGTTAAAGGTTTAGGGTTTAGGGTTGAAACTTGTATTCAACAATGGTTCCTCGCTGGACCAAAGCAGCATTCAAGGATTTGTGGGCTCAGGGGTTTCATGGCATAGCAGGGAGTTTTTGGGAGCTTTCGGGCTCAGGGCTCAAGCCTTCCGAAGAGAGTGGCCGGTGTTTGCTGCACTTTGATGCGGCCGGGGTGTTGTAGGGCGGCTCTACGTGGCTCTCATTTTGCTGCGTGGTCTGTCAGGTTTGTGTAAGGCCCTACCGAGTGTCGGGGTGCATGGTTGAGTTTGGAGTGTAGGGTCTGGGAATCTGGGATTCGGCGGAGCTGTCTAAGCTTGTGCACAAGGACTTGCAGGCTTACGGCTTAAGGGCGCACAGGTGCAGGGGGTTGCAGTGTTGGGGATACGTGGGGCTGGTCTGGCTGAGGGTGAACATGTGATGAGGTCTTGATCCGAAAATGCGGGCATGACAGAGCCACTTAGAGGTGGAACACATGTTTACATGTCTAGCAAAAGGTGCCTAGGCCATGCCTGGCTGCCGAGGCAAACAGACAGCCAGTTTGACTATTTATACGCACATAGTTGCCCTCCACCCCAAGCCCGAAACCCTGAACATGAACCAGCAGGGACAGGGAACGGTATAATTACAAGGGAGCTTGCGATTGAAGAGCCGCGAGATATTGAATGAAAAGCGAAACGTGGCACTGTAAGCTTGCAGTCTTATTCCAATGTAAGCACAAGTGCAGGGTTTGGGGCTCAAAACCGCGCTCGATCGCAACATAGACCGATCCTCACCCAAGCCACACGATACCTAAAACCTAAACCCCACACCGTCAGCCCTAGAACCCTCATCCCCAGCATCGATAAAAAAATGTGGCAGCAGGCGACCCTGAGCCCAAGGTGAACAAAGATGCTATGGCCACGACCTGACAACTTAGCGCCGGCCTTCTGACAATTGGGCTTAGGATTTGCAGTGCAGTTAGGGTATGTTTAAGGTTGAGGATTTCAGGGTTGAGGGTTTAGGGCTCTGAGTGTTTATGTGGTTGGGTCCCATTAAACCATCTGCTGCTGCGATTCCAGGCACGGACCTCGGGGAGCCTTGCGGAACCACTCTTGCAAGTGCCTCTGCTCTAGAATGTAAGGGCCCTGCGAATCCATCATCTAGGATACGGTCATCAGCAGGTATTTGCCCACACCCTAAACGCTAAACCCTAAAACCCTAAACCCTAAAACCCTAAACCCTAAACCAAAAACCCTAAAACCCTACACCCTAAACCCTAAACCCCAAAACCTAAACCACCCAAAGCTTTTCAGAACTGCTCTAGCCGCCTCCTCGGCGAAGTCTTCTCTCGCCTGGCCGCTTAAAACAGGGAGACCTTAATAATTAGAATAGGGTTTTGAAGTTTGAGGGTGATGCGGGCGAAAGCCGGTCGACGAAGAGCGATAGGGTTTGGGGGTATATTATACCATAAATATCATATAAGGAGCCCCCAAAACCCTATTCTAGTTATCAAGGCCCCTTACATTAATGAGAGGCTGAGGCCGCTGGCGCAATGAGGGGTTGAGGAGTCGGGGGTTCGGGGCTTCCCCGGAGGGTCCATACCTTAACCGGCCAAACCCTGCTTCTTTGTAGGTTCTTGTTTTGAACCCTAATATGGTTTTTGTAGCGGCCCTGCAAAAAAGTAGGTTTTGGTAGGAAAAAGGGAAATACTACCTAGGTCCCATAAGACCATCCCTATTAGGGTTTCGGGGGCCTAATTCCACAATGGTAGTATATCTGGACCCTCTGGGTTCTAAGTTTGTTTTAAAGGCTTAAAGGGCAATGGACTTTCTCTCCGCAGAGGTCGCGTCGTTTAGGTTTCAGGGTTTAGGGTTTCAGGGGTTTTAGGGCTTGGGGTTTAGCTAGGGGCTTAAGGGCTTTTGGAGGGTTCAGGGTTCAGCGTTTACGGGCTGAGGGTTCAGATCGTAGATTTCCATGGGAACCACAGATGCGAAGACTCCGTACAACAGTAACGTCTAAGTTAGTTGTTGTATCTCAGCCACATGCAAGCCCTGAACAGGAAATGTAACACGAGCAGGGATTCGACACTTTGCAAACCGCATGTTCTAGCTGTTTCTTCAGGCCATGGAAACTTTTAACTATCCGGTCGCACCGGCCGATTTGCCTAAACTTTCTGAGCCAAACCCTCCCATGCAGACACATAAACCTCCGACTAAGACCCAGAACGCTGCCTATGTAAACGCAAAGCTGCAATGTCCAATTCTGTGGATGCCGTGTGCTTTCTTGGGCGTGGGACTCTGCAACAGGGCCAGACTGCATGCTGCCGACAGCTACATTCAGATATTGGGCTTGTGACAAGCATTGCCTCATCGACCACCGCCAGCGCAACATTCAGTAGGAAGAATGACGTTACCTGGCTTAGTTGCTGAGTTCATAAGCCCCCCAAAAAGTGTACACTTTTAGTTTTATAGTGGGTAACATTATCCCAAGAAGTGTAAAGTGTATCCACTCAGCTACTTACCTGGCAGTGCGCGGGCAAGCAACATGTGGCAGAGTGTCAGCTTTCGGCCTGCAGAACCTCACAACTCTATGTCCCCAAAAGGGCCACTGGGAGCTCACCCTGACGTCTAAACCCTAGCTGTGGCCCCAAACCCTACAAAATTAAAACGGTAGTTCTTCGGATCTCAAGGTAGATAATAAGCCTTGAAGTTCCGGATTCTCCCAAGGCTTCGGGGTTCCGGGCTGAAGGTTCTGGTGCGTGCAGGGCGGATCGAAAGCCCGAAACCCGGGTTAACCTCAAACAAAACCCGAAATCCTTAGGCGTCTTCGGCCGCAGGGTGTAGCGTTTACTGTAGGGTTTAGCCTAAACCTTCAACCCTAAGCCTCGAACCGGAATCCCGAACCTCAAACCCCAAATCCTGTCATAATCTCACGGTTACCGGTTGCGTACTCAGCTACGAAGTGGGTGTCGGGACATGTCTAGCATGTTGAGCTGTTCATGGTGTTGGGCCTGGTGTCGGTATGCAGTCTGTTTGTAAATGTTGGTGTAAGGTGATGGGGGCTCTGTGTTTAGGGTTCGGGAGTTTAGGGCAACAATGCCTGAACGTTCAACTTAACTCATCACTGTCTGGTTGAATAATAAAACGAATCAGGGCGAGAGCTACCACTAGGAGGTGTATGAAATAGGGCTGTGGGGAAACCACTTCCGGTTGGGTTTCTGATGCCAGGCGCCCCGACCGGGATAAGGAGAAAGAAATACACTGTGGCCACCACCATACCATGGCCGTCCTTCTGGCAGGTTGCTTGAAGAAATTCTTTCAGACTCCGAACCCTTTCTCTGATTTGAGGAGTATCATTTTCAGAGGTCAGATGCTCAGCTTCTCAGTCTCGGATCCCGAGAATTACACACCCCAGAGCTGAGGTGGCTGCCAATCACAACCACCGAAAACCCCAAACCAACGGACGTCCGGTCAGTCATTGCATGGACCTGTCTGTTCAGGTGCCTGCGGTTGATGATATAAATCGTGCATTACCCATAATCGGAATATGCCATATTTCCCATAGTTGAGGGTCCTTAAGGTAATGCAGGATTTATATCATCAACCGCTGTCAACTTGGGTTGGGCCTGCATTCGGTCTTTCCTTGCAAGACACTGAACCCTGAACCACGAAAGTGAACTAAAACCCACTAGGCCCGAAACCCCTAACGGGAATCTAAGATTCTAAAAAGGAGCAGGGGGATGTGCAATGGGCCTCGGAATACTCGTAGCCCCTCTGAGCACCAGCAGGGCACCGGCACCCCAAAGTACCCTTCAGTAGAGCCCATATGGTCCTTAATAGACGGTGTTCGGGGTATAGTTGAGGGTCTAGGCATTCCCGACATCTTGAAGCCCCATCCTCAACCCTTGACCTCCCTCTCCCGTCGTTCCGTTTGACCGGACATTCTGCCAAGCCCCTACAGCCGAAAGCTGCCTGTCCTGAATGCGATACATGACCTCGGCTCTGGACATTACTTGGAGGGTCGTGGGACTTAGTAAGTAATTATATTTTAGGGACTTATAAGTATCATAAGCCCAATTAGGGCCCCTTTTAAGGTACTTATAAGTCATTATAAGTCTACTTACTATCTACTTACTGAGTCTCCCTACCCTCCAAGTACGGTATTAACGATTCAGGGTTTAGGTTTTACTTGCTGCAGGATGTCGGGTTTAGGCATGGGCTTTAGGAGTTTTGGGGCATTATAAGATACATTCCCATGCATGAAGGGTTGTGCCGAGAATCAGTGCGACGCGTGCTGGGCTAAATTGATTAGGATTCTGTACCCTCAACATACCTTACCTGGACCCTAAGAAGCGCACCGAGTTTCTTGTGCTTCAGGATCTCGCACTCCATGAAGCCCAAACTTAACTTACAACCTCAGCCCCATAAAAAGCGTGCAATGTGAAGCTTACGTTATGATCTAAGTAAAGCCTACGTAACTGACAGCGACTTACAACTGGGCTA